GCACCTTCAAACTGTGGTTGCTCTTCGTCTATAGGCACTGTGACCGTACATGTACCTGCAGAAGCGGCTGGTGCTGGCGACGCAGCAACCATATGTGAATGACTCAAGGCTATAGGCTGTCCACCTTGTGAAAATCGTTCCACGACGATGGAAATAAGAGCTGTCGCATGATCTGAAAGCAAAAAAGACAATTAAATAACAACCCTGGATATAAATAGCAAACCTCTTTGAGATACTCAGACCAGACTACCGGTAAATGTCACGTTATCGTGGCTACTCGCCCATGCGGCATAGCTACTATGCAGGAGAAACTGTAAATGTTTTTTTGTGTACTTTGAAATATCAGTTTTCTGCTAAGAAGGAAACTTTTGTTCTTCTGTTCTTTTGTTCTGGGATGGGTGGCGACAGAACGTTTGACATTTCTACGACGTTACGTAACAGCCAGTGTTACACTTAAAAATGGAGACTTCTGTTATGATTTTTGGTTTCAGATCTTTCAGCTTCTTTCATTGCACTTTTTCAATGGCATATTTTATTGTGGCTCGGTGTGGCGCAAACCAGTGGCGATTGCTACTACAAAGACGTCCCTTCCTTTGGGAAGTTTTCGTGGTCAATATGATATTGCGTCAGGCTTTTATTGCAATCTGATATCAGGTTTTTTTAGCTGTGATAGAATACTGATTTGTTTTCTTAAAACTGAAATGGATCTTCTGAATATGATTCTCTGATATTGTTTATTTTTAACAGCAAAGAGTTTGGAAAATAACCTTTAACGGGTATAGGCAAAGCTGGAGTGAAAAGACAGTGGGAAAAAGTAGTGACCAAAAATCTGAAATCTGATATAGACATACACGACTAGTTGGCAAAAGGGTAAAGGGTGATTTAGTTTTTTATTTGATAGCATATATGCTTTGAGAACGTTTTCCGTTAAAATTATCTTTTTTTCTTAAGAGGCTTCTGCTCTAGGAAAAAACTAGGTGAGTGTAGGTTTTTCTTTTAAAAAGTGTAATTCCATGTCATGCTAAGTTTATTGGTTCATTTAATTCTACTTTCAACGCTAGGATTGTAAACGCTGCCAACATTTTGGGCGCAACGAAGGGACTACAGCGAATTGATGAGTTTATCATATTTTAAATTCGAGTTAATCATACGTACACATTGCGTACCTATTTTTATGATATTGGTTGGCAACTGCGCTACATTTGCAAAGGTCGCACTCTATGAACACGATGATTAATACACCTTCTTGGTCCGTCCGTGAACTTTTGGGTTAAAGACTGATTGGACCGTAGACTAAATGCGGTGGATGAAAGCAAGCTAGAAATAGGGAATACTATTTTTGAAATTGCCACGTACATGTATACACGAAACAGAAACTTGTGAAATTTAGTTTCTCGAAATCCGTCATTTTTTAAGCTCACCTATTCTTTCGTTAAGCTGTTGGAGTTGATCTCTGACATCTGCGTTAACCCGGTGGAGCTCTTCTCCTAGTTGTTCTACTGCATCCTTGACATCCATATCGTTCTTGTACCATTGGTGAAGCTCATCCGCGTATCTTTGTTCCTCTGTTGTTAGACGACCATTAAGTAACTCATCAATGGCCTTTTTCCATTCATCTCTCTTTTCGTTACTTATAGATCCAGCAATTCGTAAAAGGGCTTTGCTGATTTCATTCCAAAGATCAAGGAACTCCTCGTTGGTCACTTCCATTGTCTGGTTGTGACCATAAACAGAATTGCGGTAGTATTTTATCCGCACTAACTCTGCTTCAAGACTGTGGTCTGTACTGTTTGGCAGATTGTTCCACCCAGTTAGAGGCTCTGTAAGGTTGCATATTGTTCTTAACAATTTGAATGTTAATGTGACGTCGAAATCGGTGGACTTGCCAAACGTACAAGGGGAAGGGTAGAGGCAAGCCCGCTCGGATTCAGAAAGTTTTGCTCCCTTTAACTGATTAACTATGGCAGGATCAACTAGCCTCAATGGAAGATCGGTGGGCGAGTGAAAAGAATCAAACTTTTCTTTTAAAAGCCTGACACCTCCACACATCAAAAGTCTTGTCAACCGGTGGAAATTATCCTTCCCATTTGTTGAACGCAAGCCTGCTTCTGCATCTGTGGCTGCGTCCATGTCCGGTCACCAAGGTCAGCTGAAACCTTACAAATAAAGAAGAAGAAAAAAAGATATATTTTATATAACACAAGTATGGAAACGTTTCAATTAACCAACCAACCAACCAACCGACCGATCAATCAATCAATCAATCAATCAATCAATCAATCAATCAATCAATCAATCAATCAATCAATCANAGAGGCTCTGTAAGGTTGCATATTGTTCTTAACAATCTGAATGTTAACGTGACGTCGAAATCGGTGGACTTGCCAAACGTACCAGGGGAAGGGTAGAGGCAATCCCACTCGGGTTTAGAAAGTTTTGCTCCCTTTAACTGATTAACTATAGCAGGATCAACTAGCCTCAATGGAAGATCGGTGGGCGAGTGAAAAGAATCAAACTTTTCTTTGAAAAGCCTGACACCTCCACACATCAAAAGTCTTGTCAACCGGTGGGAATTATCCTTCCCATTTGTTGAACGCAAGCCTGCGTCTGCATCTGTGGCTGCGGCCATGTCCGGTCACCAAGGTCAGCTGAAACCCTACAAATAAAGAAGAAGAAAAAAGATATATTTTATATAATACAAGTATGGAAACGTTTCAATTAACCAACCAACCAACCAACCAATCAATCAATCGATCAATCAATCAATCAATCGATCGATTGATCGATCAATAAACATTTATTTAACGAGGGCGACTTATTTCCAACGTCTCTTTTTTAAATACTTGATCTTGTGACATCTACAGCATGCATTTCTTCGTTTACAATATTTTGCAATTACTTGACCGAAGAGGTGAGCCGTCGTCTTCGAAGTACATTTCTTTGGGGCAAAGTAGTCTCATTTCTGTGATGCCTCTCTGTCAAGCTACGGTTCTGTTTCCTATCTCCGTGCAGTAATTGCAGAGGGAAAATTTCATTGTTTCCTGTTGTTAGGGAAGTCGCGGTTGTCCGCGATCAGGCAGATGACCATACCAAGACTTCAACTGTCTGCCGCTGTGATTGCTGTGAGAATGGATCGATTGTTGTCGCGTGAGGTTACGTTGGAGATTTAACACTCAGTATTCTGGACTGACTGAATGATTGTCCTTCAGTACATCTACAGTCGCAGTAAGAGGTTTCATACCTTTGTGGCGAACATTTGTCTGTCTGTNTTGAATGTGAATAAATATATTCGTGAATAATAATAACAACATTAAATGTGAATGAATATAAACCTTGTGAATTTTGCACCATTTCGCCAACCATAGTCAGAGAGTCGTATCAATGCGACAAGCCGGCTTGCGGGAATTAGCTTCATTACTGACATCCTGAGATCAACCTCTTTGTTTTCAAAGCTTGTCCTACTGTCTAACTGCCTTTTGAACCTCTCCCGTGTACAAGGGGGTAAATTTCTCTTTGAAGAATTTATTAGCCGGGCCATTAACTGATTGTGTGAAACTGATCACATGGCGGGATTTCATTTTGTACCCACTTTAATTTAGCGACAATTTAATTTAGCGACACTTAATTTTGATGTATTTCAATTTAGCGATTCTTGGAAAAATCGCTAAATTCGCTGAATTAAAGTGTCGCCCAAATTTCATGTAATAAGGTAGTTTAAACTCAATTTGGGAACGTTAGGGGTAACATATAAACTTGATTCGAAATTGAAAATTCCAAAGTTATTTGGAAGCAACAAAGTTAAAGAATTCAGATAAACGACATACTACTCAAATGAATGCTGGGAGGTGCAACAACTGATCAGCCATGAACGCACGGAAATCAAAACAAAGCCCGACGGGCACAACAGTCTCCGTTTGAATACTTTCTAGATTTTGCTTTCCTATTTCTTTTGTGTTTTGCAGTTGAAATTGTTGCAACGTTTTCTACACTTAATGTTGGGGTATCATTGAATCATATTTTGAATTAGACATCACTTTGTGTGATTATCAAATGCGATTACAATAATTAATCGCATCAGTTTGGTAGACGAACTATCTGCATGATGATTATTGATCCACTTCACCGACCAGAAACCAGCATCATTTCGATGTGTTGCGAGTAACTGATTTTCAAGGTTTTAGATCTCCATCACGGAGAAATAAGACAAAAATGATCAGTTGGAGCCCGACACAGAAAGGTCAATACGTAGCATGAAAGCGATGGACGTTTGATACAACGAAATAAAGATCGAGGTTGCATTTGCCGTCTTTTATCAATGCCGACAAATGTAATATAGTACTTACGAGTTAAGAATCACAGTTCAGTTCCTTATGTAGCGTCTGCCATGTTCTGGTTTAGATTTTCCAGTCGTTGTCGCTGTGATGTACGCACTTCAATGGTACTGATGCTGTGGAAATATCACGTGATTTCGAGACGTGACTATCTAATATTCTTGTCACCATCGCGAAAGAATAAACATAGGCGCGCAAGGCGTGCAAGAGTTATTTTTTTGTGAACTATAAGTCTTGGAGATAGGAGCATTCAATGAGCTGTTTACAGTAATGATTTGGTTGATTTGACAAGTTTTTTTGGTTGCGATGTACAGCAAGAAAGAAA